CAAGCTGGCTGCTGCCCTTGAGAACTCGAATTCTCCTATTGCATGAAGTGGGTGCCGGTGCCTCAGGCTACGGCAGTATCAATCTCCACACCATTCGATGTGTTCCATGCGTCGCCACAACTGAAAAGTCGGCAGTCGGAACGATCAAGTAATCCCCGTTCCATTTCAGTACGCACGACGCATACCCAACGTGTAAAGTATCTCATACAGCCTATCGAAGCACCAAGAACCTCGGTTCATGCTTACTCCATCAGAGTTCATCCACCTCCTGAGAAATGACAAGTGAAAGCCAACCAAGATCCAAGGACCTCGAAAAAAAAAACAAAGAAAACATTCACATCCACATCCACATTCCCAGTTCCAGAGTATACACACCATCAACAGTTTCGACTCCAAACAAGGAAAAAGGAAAGGAAAGAAGGTGCTAGTGCTACTCCCTTGATACATATCATATCCCACACTTCCGGACCGAGCTCATTATGCGGTCGCTCCCCATTAACACACAATTCAAATTCAAATTCAAAAATATCGCGGTATATCTACACGCACCCGGGGTACGTCGAAGATCCAGCCCGATCACGATGACTCATACCTACATACATACAAGATCTTCAACGATTCCACCATGTCAGAAACACAAGTACGAATTACGAAACAGCATCATCGCATCGGGGTGCTTACTCTCACACCACACCACACCAGCATATCTCGTTCTCTATCAACATCACCAATCCAAAAAAAAAAAAAATGAACTGCAAACCGAAATCGCCCACGCGGTACCTAGTCACCCCACGATCTCCCGTTCCTGCGCCACAGCTCTGCAGAAACTCACAAAGACAAATCACACACGATTGCGATCGAATAGCGCTATGGGTGATCGTGTAGTACGCCCTGAGTCGTGTTTGGGTTCGTCATCCGTGCCGAGTCTGATTAAGATCGAACGGGTGGTCTGTCCGTTCGAGTTTGGGGTTCGGGGCTGGATGAACTCGAGTGAGTGTCGTAATTGTAATGCATAGTCAGCAACCGGTGCCTGTGAACGCTCTTGCGTACTACGTAGACGTAGACGGTTCAAATTCAAATTCGAGGCTATTGCGAGCGTTATGTCGAAAGGGGGAAGAAATCGAAATCGAAATCGATCCCGATGTCCGTGCGTGACATACTTATTTATCAGGCTTTTTAACTTACTTTGTGGCTGCTGGGATTTCTGTTCTACAGTACGCTGCAGTACACTATCTCGCAAAACGGATTATTTCGGCGCTTGACAGCTATGTATACTAAGTAGATTTAGATCTGGTGGTCGTGTCATGAGATCTTGTGCTGTCGAATGTCGATATGACTGTATCAAGAAAAAATACCCCGCGGTTCTTCCCCCGATGAGATACTGACGAATGAATATGAATATGAATATTCTTGCGGGGCATCATGAGTCAGTTAGTACTTTGTGTCGAGACACGAAAGGATACTTTTTCTTTTCAATTGACTGCTTTGGATATTGGATATTGTTCGTCAGGTACGCTTCGATTCGAATTCGAGGAGTGTTAGATATAGACAGATCTGGTGGTCGTGTCGTGTTGTGCTGTTGTGCTGTTGAATATCGATATGGTTATGAGAGTGAAAGAGACTGTATCAAACGATTTCCCCGATGAGATACCGACTAATAGATATTTTTGCAATAGCACCATGAGTCAGTCAGTAATTTGTGTCGAGACATTTCTCCTTATAAGCTCCTTTCGATATTGTTCGTCAGGTACGCTTCGATTCGAATTCAAGGAGTGTTAGATACGGACAGATCTGGTGTCCGTGTCGTGTTGTGCTGTTGTGCTGTTGAATATCGATATGGTTATGAGAGTGAGAGAGACTGTATCAAACAAGGAGATACTCCGTGGTTCTTCCCCCGATGAGATACTGACAAATAAATATTCAATGCAGGAGAATCATGAGTCAGTCAGTAATTTGTGTCTCGACTTCGCACTGGTGTCATGTAAATTCTCACTGCCTTGTTTCATAAAGCCTCGACTTTTGCACCAACTCAAATACCCACGAACTTTAGGCCATCTCTAAACTCCTGGACAACTCGAGTGGTATTCCAGATTACATAGAATTTGGCAATAGGCTAATTCAAATGTCCTCTGCCGATAACTGACAGAACAAACGATCATTGTTCGCAAAACCAGAACCAAAACACAAGATGGCTGTGGAGAACAGATGACGCCTGATAGTCGTATAGAGTAAAATGCATCATCGGGAGTTGATATGACTCCCGCCAGGTAGAACAATCACGATCGCCAAAATAAATTTTATTAGATTACTTCACGAATGGAGAGACAGAGACGTGACAGCTGTCCAGCAGAAACCCCCGGAAGGATGCATATGCCGAGATTAGAGTTGTACATCACAGTAAGCAATATACCCGGTACCGCCGTATATCATTTCGGATTCGCTTGATCATCATTATACTTTTTGGAAAGATATAAATAAAAAGGTGTTTCGGATTGGGAGGAGGTAAGGAGTGGGCTGTGAATTCGAAGGATCGCCTTGAGAGAGGAGGTAATCATAATCTCATCTAGCGTTAATCTTTGGAATGATTATCGTTTTGAGCGGCTTCGAGACGTACAGTAACCTGAGGCCGACGACGAAGTGACCGTGCACAGCAACAGATATTATAGTCCCGATGTTGTTTCGAGATCTGATGAGCGCACAAAAAGCCTGAGAGGAACATGTCACCGGCCACTGAAGAAACGACATAGATGCATCATGCTTATGTCCGAAAGACTTGAACGCAGATCTTGGTAGTGATTGATTATCAAAAGCGCTTAGATAGATCAGGGGGTGGACAAGATTCAAGTATTTCAGAATTCAGCGTGGCCGTGCTTGCGTACGTTTTTTCATTGGGCTCCTCTCCTCAGAAGCTGTGTCCCAGACGGAGGGGGCACTGCAAAAAGAAGTTCGTATTTGCATGTGTGGTGACAGGTTTACATCAGGGGTGAACGAACCAAATAGTCGAAGTGATCGCTTGTTGGGTTTAGACCATGCTCGGCCCGAAGGAAGCAGTGTTTTCTCTTCTAATAATAATAGCACACATTATTGTCGTGCCACCATTCATGACAAACCCAGTCTCTTGGGTCCTTGTTACCCTCTCAGACACTGATCTTGTAATATGAAATCACTATCGTTAAATCTAGTACCCGGAAGTCACTATCGTTAGATCTAGTACCGAGTTCGACCAAGATAAAACTGCGGTAATTAGAAGAAAGGGCTTGTCCTACGTTAGACACGGGTCCAAGGCTCCACCGCTACATTAGTCGTCGGACGAAGCATCGAATCACCGGACGACAGTGGGATGTAAGTGAGAATCGTCGATGCAAAGCGTCCAGATACAATTCATCCTGATTCAGAATGAAGATCATCTGTGATAGAAATGCACACTCACGTATTATAACAAAGGAACTGGTGGTGGAGGTCTGTCTGACGAATGGAAGACAAACTCAGATCTGCAAGCGTGCATATATTAATCCTGATCAAAAGAACGAAGCTTTGCAGATGCATGCGGTTGTCCAATAGAAATTAGGGGCTCCGGCTCTCCGTCCAAGTAGCTCGTGCGCTTCTGTACAGAGTGTAATCACATGCACTAACTTGGATGTTTTCAAGAGGTCATTCGAGGTGTACTTGAGATATCAATCTGAAGAGAACAACGTTCATTGGCTCGGAGTTCCAGTTGGGTCCTCCCAGTCCGGTAACTTGATGAAAAATCTCGCTGACTTCTTGGTTCATACAAATCCACCATCCTTTTCTCCAAACTCGTCAGAATAACCTTTACTCGAGGTCATCTTCTATCTGTACGTTTCATGGGAAACGTGTCCGGGTGCCCTCAGCGATAATAATTGATATCATGAGACGAAGTGGAGTCTTGATGATCAAACAACGAAACGCAGCAGAACTGTTCTTTCAAGCGCTCTATCTGTCTTACTTAACTCCATGATTCAGCATTTGAACGAGATTAGCTAGCACAGATCGTGTGTCCTCAGTCAGAAACAGCCACAAGCTTCGGGGTCTTGAGTTTTGTCTACTTTACCTCAGGTCTAGTTTAGCGTGTCAATTTGAAGTTTTTCACTGAGATGCTATGTTACCCTCTCATCCTCAGTGGCCATGTCCTCTCATCCGTCTCAACACGTCAATATGGACTTCTCAAAAATGCGTGCCATATCCTCTCGACTTGAAGGCAGCTTTCTCGAGCGTACAAAACACTTACTACCTCGTCTTTGGCGTTAGAAGGCAGCGAATCAACATTGACGCGCATCAAAAACAGTTTCCCCCAGCCAGTCAGCTAGTTTCGTAGTTTCGTTGTCCATATCATGGTTCCTAAGGTCAGTATGGTAAACTAAAGGTATCAGTTCAATCCATTTCTTACACTCTTCTAGCTCCGGTCTTAGTTGACGAGCAACTTCATTTAGCGCTGTTGAAACAGTGTTGGTGAGATTTTGCTTGTTTCTTGTGACACAATCGCTCAATCTCATAATTTGTGTGGAGGATGCATTGTAGTCTCGCATATGGTGATGAGGCCAGTCCCGGGCATACCCTGCCTGTAAATTGTATCTCGACATACAGGTTGCTTTTTTGACGGATTACGGCGTGCGACTTAAGGCCGCCTTTTATAATCGAGTATACCGGTCAATATTTGTCACATCCTTTCCCCAATGCCCTGCCATTGTAAGTTGCGGCATTCTTCGGGAAGCGTCCGTAACCACACCTAGTATTGTCCTTTGTGGAGTTCCTAATGTGTCCTGAATTGAATACTGCTTCTGAATGTCCCTTTCAATCAAATACACTTCAGGAGTATTCTTGCAATAGCCGGCTCAAAGCTTTCTCCTGTTTGATAAACCGGTCTCTCTTACTCTATTAGACTTGTTATGAGCCCAACAATGTGGACTTACGATAATTAAAACTAACCATACGTGCTGGAGTATGTGATCACGAAAACAAGAGGTCTAATATTGGATCAAGCCGCTGTAGCACAATGGTAGTGCGTTGCTTTCCTATATAGATAGCAGGCAAAGGTTGCGAGTTCGATCCCCGTCAGCGGTTCTGATATAATGCCCTCAGCGTATTTTTGCGTGCAAAGATGGACGAACTCCGACTTATCATCTGTTATTAGGTCAGACTAGATCTGAAATTTGAAAGACTGAACCTTGTTCAGTCGTTCCTTTCCGCGCGTCAAGTCCTCTTATAGTGTATCCTGACAACTCACAGTAACATGACCATCGACCCAAAGCCTACAGACCGCGTCGAAACCGTGTCAACCATGTCGGAGCATGATGAGTACCAATATCTCCGACTCATTCGACGCGTCCTTGACACGGGCGACGTGAGGCCAGACCGTACGGGAACAGGGACCATCTCAATTTTTGCTCCACCATCCCTCCGCTTCTCCCTCGCCAACTCCACCCTCCCGTTACTCACCACAAAACGTACGTTCCAGCGTGGCATTATCGAGGAACTACTCTGGTTTATCCACGGCTCAACGGACTCGACACTCCTTTCGAAAAAGGGCGTCAAAATCTGGGATGGAAACGGTTCACGCGCGTTTTTAGATAGCAGAGGGCTACAACATCGGCGCGAAGGTGATTTGGGCCCTGTTTATGGATTCCAGTGGCGGCACTTTGGTGCCGAATACGTGGATTGTGAGAAGGACTACACGGGCGAGGGTGTCGATCAACTTAGGGAATGTATCAAGAAGATCAAGGAGAATCCAATGGATCGAAGGATTATCCTGAGTGCTTGGAATCCCAAAGGTGTGCTATCAGCATTATAAGACCCACAAGTAGCCTGATATACTTTCTACAGATATTCCTCAGATGGCCCTTCCACCATGCCATATGATCTGCCAATTCTATGTCCATCTCCCGTCACCTGCAACACCAGAGGCTAAACCAAAACTATCATGTCTTATGTATCAGCGCTCTGCTGATCTGGGCCTCGGAATCCCATTCAATATCGCCTCGTACGCGCTATTGACACATATGATCGCGCATGTTACTGGTACAGATGCGCATGAGCTCATTATCCAACTGGGCGATGCGCACGTGTACAGAGACCACGTCGAGGCGCTGGAGGAGCAACTTAAGAGGGAACCTAGGCCGTTTCCCAAACTGCGATGGGCAAGAGAGGGGATCGAGGACGTTGAGGAGTTTACCTACAGCGATTTCGTGATTGAGGGTTATGAGCCTCACCCTGCGCTCGCGATGAAGATGAGCGTTTAATGAATGGACTTGAAGATGTATATCAGTATGTAGATTTGACTAACTTTCTGCATGGGAACCTCTTCGGAGACTATTAAATTATTTATGTTTTCAGAAAATTATATCACGTGCAGATGGCTATTGGACACCAAATATGTAAACATCGCCTGATCTCCACGCAATGGACAACCTTAAAGAGCTCTTTGCCAAAGTTCCTTCAGAATACCAGTGGCCTGTGGAATTCTGTGCAGTTGTTACAGTCGTCGTTTGGGTCGCGTCTCTCATTACCTCAAATGTTTCCCAAGTCGATCGTCTGTGGACGTTCCTGCCATTCATCTACACCGCCTACTATGCTCTTTTGCCTCTATGGCCTCAAGAGCCTTCATTCTTTCTATGTCCCTACACACCAAAGAGTCTTGGTTGGGCGACAGCCAGAGACTTCAGTCCCAGGGCAGTTTTGATGCTTGGGCTAATCTTTCTATGGATGATTAGGTATCTTAGCATTTCGAGCTGTCTTGTGATTCTACTCAACCTCAATAGACTTTCATACAATACGAATCGACGTGGCCTCTTCAGGCTGTAAGGGCCCTCTTGATTTCGCGTCTCGCATCATGTCTCAAATTTTCGCAGGCAGGACGAAGATTACCGTTGGGCTGTTCTCCGCACCAAAGTTCCACAGTGGCTTTTCCAAATCATCAATCTCACGTTTATCGCTGCGACTCAAAACGTTCTTCTACTTCTCCTCAGCTTTCCAACCAAAGTTGCATCTACCTTTCAGCCACATAGCCCTCTTGCCACATCGGATTACATTCTCGCTGTACTTGCGCTGGTAGATTTGGCATTCGAATTTACCGCAGACAACCAACAGTGGGCATTTCATCAGTACAAGCACGCGTATCTGCCTGCTGAAAGTGAGAATGGAACATCTGTTGAACCATACGACAAGAAGAAACAATGGTTGGGCGCTCGTTTAGACTTTACACCAGCAGATGCTAAGCGCGGTTTCGTCACTCGCGGTCTGTGGGCATACTCACGTCACCCCAACTTTCTCTGCGAGCAATTCTTCTGGGTGTGTTCATTCTTCCCAATCGCAACATTTTCTGACAATAACATATTCAGTGGATAATCACCTTTTTCCCGTTTCTGTCGCCTCCGGAGCCAAATTTCATCTTCACATCCTTCCCATGGCACCTCGTCCCCTCCCTCTCCGCCATCCTTCAAAACTTCCCCTATACGCTCTATCCCCTCCTATCCCATCTCTCCGAGCCCCTTTCTGACTTTGTGCCGGCTTTGGCGCTCTCCTCACTCTTCTTCTCCTCCACCCTTTTTACGGAGTCTATCAGCGTGGGCAAGTATCCGAAGGAGTACAAGGCATATCAGGAGCGAGTGGGCATGTTCAGCCCACTGCGGACATGGGAGAAGGGGCTCGTACTTGCCTGGCGTGGGCGGAAGAAAGAAGTTGACGACATTGTTTGGGGTGAGGGAAATAAAGAGAAGAAGGAGTAGATAATTGTTGTGTGAAGGTTTGAGAGATAGAAGATGAACTTGAGATCACGGTTTGTGAGTCTTGTGTTTTAGTTGGACCTGTATCAATATCAAATATGAGTATAACTATGTGAGTGTCCCCACTCGAAAGTTGTGACATTCAAGCAAATCGACGTGTGATGCCATCCTGTATCCTCAGCCAAACCCGCATTTTCGTTCTCCCGCTCTGGATTCAGTTCATATATCGAACTGATACGACAACTGAGACCTCATCATAGTCCCTTCAAATCTCGATCAAGTATTCCAGTTCTATCTCCTCACGCACACTCGAGTAACGTCTATCAGCTCTCTAGGTATTTCTTCATACACCATGTATCTCGCATAGGATGCAAGAGCGTTCTGTTTAATGAGCGAAAAAATCAAGTGGTCTTCTACCTCAGGTTGCGCGAAACGCCTAGTTGAATCGTAGGTATCTGATGAACGTAGAAGGCAGCTACATTTCGTCGACTTTGATACAGGAAGATTGGATCGCAGTCACAAATGTTGAGATGGTCAGGACGTGACCAAGATCTGTAGAGTCTGACAGCGATTCAGTCATCCGGAATCCTTGCATGTGTCTTTTGTAATGCCCAAAAGTTGTGACGCACAATAATGATATGTAGTACTATGCGTCGTCTCGAGTGATCCAGCTCTCGATAGTTCGAAGTGATAAAGTGCCACTATCGACGATCGTCCTCTTACATTAAATCCACGATAGAAGCAACCAGGCCTGAGATAACCAAGAACGCGGCCAAAGACATTGCGGACCCACGACGAGGAGCAGCGTTCTTTTTCGTTGGAGTGGGGGTAGGGGTGGTCGTAAATGTGGGTGTAGACGTCGTCGACGCGAATGAGGACGTTGTTACCGAGATTGCAGGGTTGGTAGTCGAGGTCACATTCTTGGCTATAGCACCAGAAGCAGCAGAGACCAAGCCAGGAGGGATTCCACCATCTGTTGGAGACGTTGGCACAGTGGAATATAAACATGATTTCAACCAGGTACTCACCAACAAATGATGCGCCACAAAGTTCAGTGGCACGTTTGATGTCACTGGTCGAGAACGAACCAGGCATCGTCTGGTTCATCAAGGTGAACGCGCCCTTCATGCAGTCAGTGCAGACAACACTTGAGGGGAAACCCTCCTTGACCAAGTTGGCAATTGAACGGATGTCCGTGACGTTGAGATTCATGGTACCAGTAAGCACCTCGACGTTCCTGAGCGTCCCCGTGACACAATTTATGCCTCCACTATTGGAACTATCCCATCATCAGAGAGCGTCGAGTATATGATCAAAAACTCACTCCTTCAAGCACGCGACCTCCCGCACAGTCTTATATCCGGCCTTGACAGTCGCAATCGTCTGCTGTATGCGAGAAGATGAGAGACCGAACTCATCCGAGCAACTCGTAGTAAGGTTGCTGAGGACAGCGATGAGGGTATCGTCACTACATGCCGGAGCACCGCACATACTCTCGAGCCAAGTATCAAGATACCCAATGACTGACTCTGGACCATTGCCAGCGCCTATCATGACTGTGAGGAGCTGGGCGGGTTTCAAGCACGTGTGGGCAGCAGGATCTTGTCCGATAGCCATGAGTGAGTTCATGCATCCAATCGAATATCTACGCATCGGGAACGCATCACCTCAGGTTCTCGAGAATAAAATCATCTTTGAATGAGACATACGAGTTTGCAGACACAAAACCAATCAGGGCAACGATCGTGATAGCACGGAACATCATATTTGATTGGAGAAGGGCAATGAGAATGACCGTTCAACGGTGTCGAGAGAGTGGGTGAGATATCAAATCTGGAGAATATTCATGCGCGGATGATCCTTTTATATGTAATCGCCAGCACAGCGTTGCTAGGATGTCTGTTTCATCAACCCGTCAGGAAATAAGTACCAAGAGATCACTCAAAATCAAAAACAAGGGGTTTGACGAGATCTGCGATTTCCAGGTTTAACGATGGTTCGCCTACTAATTTTTTCCTTGTATATATGCAGACCGAAAGATCTGTTCATCAGTCGAAAGTAGTATATAATAAGCAATCTCCCGTAGAAATAGGAAAGAATCGCTTCTTCGACCATCCACTTCAAGACGGGGAAAATCTTGATTGATCAAAGGACCGACGGAGACCGACATCACATCAAGAACTCACAGGACGGATGAAACACAGAAGAACATGTGTTTCGAGTGCAAGACTCGAGATTCGTGGGTTGAAAATACAATTTTCGATGATTAGAACAAGGTGGATCTGAAGACTAACCTAACGATAGAGTAATTACAGTCACCGTCAGCGCAACAAAGCACCCAGA